TATTACTAATGTCCTTTTAATAGTAAGAAGTACTAACAGATTCTTAGTTGATACTTCGTTCATTTTCTAGTTTAGCTCCATATTTCTTATCAACATCTTTACAAATCTATTTGGCATCAAATATTCTATAATTATTGCAGTGATTGGATTCATTTTTTATATTGCTGCCAATATTTATCCGATTCCTTCGCTGATGTATATCAGTAAGTTCTCGTGCTCGAAATATAATCATCTGCATTTTTTGTTTTCCAGGCGCCACAGTGGTCGGCTTTGTCGCAGCGCCATTGTGGACTGCCAAAGCAGCTTATCTTAATAAAATTACACAATACCACGCACGGCATTGTAAACAAGCAGACGAAATATCTGTTAATCTATTTCTTGGTATATTTTTTACTCTATTTAGTGAGTAACTTTTGATATTTACAGCAGGATTGTACGAGTGTTGAGCAAACGCATAATGAAGTGCAGAAGTAACGTTCTCACGACAGATCATATCAACATTATCTTTAGACTGAAAGTTTAGGAAACTTCCATTTTTTCTAAAGTTGAGGAGTGTTTGGAAGTATGCATGCAAAATTACTAGCAAAAATCTGCTTTTGATGATCTATTGTTCATTCAAAAAAAGAATGGCATATGACTGTTTTTTGAATAACTTTTGATAGAAAAGAGCTAGAGAACTTCGATTTTCACCATTCGAAAGAGGAGACTTGGGAACATGTTTTCATAATCAAAACTTTTAACCAGAAGAGTTCTCTGAAACAGGTTTTCCAAGAGATCTTTGGAAAACTAGGCCGTGTGTAAATATTTTTCAATAGGATTGTATTGATGTTTTTTCATGGACTGATAGCCCGAGGTGTCCTCGTGAAATTGAGAGGCAAGCGAGACCTTGGTTTTCCGTGGTTCGGATGTTGTATCAAATTTCCTACGAGTCCCAGAACTGGCACCCGATGACGATTGGTAGCCTTGAAGACGGATGAACTATATTAACTATTAATTTCACCTAATATTAAAAAAATTACTATTCACTCAAGAAACATAAAAAGGAGTTCAAAACTTCAGAATGTAGCGTATTTAGCCTATTCTATATCCTATTTATAGGAAATCTCAAAAGAAATTTTACAAGACCCTAAGGCTTCTGAAAGGATTTGTGGAAAACCTATTAACAGCAATATGCTTTTCCGATTTTTTCGATCGACGTTTAGCGGACAACATTAATGATATCCTGCGGTTTTGAACTCGTTCTGCTGTTTTCTGAGTGAATAGTAATTTTTTTAATATTAAGTGAAAACAGCCTGAAAACTCTAATTTTCGTAAAACTCGCTTTTTGGTAGAATTTTAAAATTTTTCTAAAACAGACTACTAGGAAATCTGATACAACATCCGAACCACGGAAAACCAAGGTCTCGCTTGCCTCTCAATTTCACGAGGACACCTCGGGCTATCAGTCCATGAAAAAACATCAATACAATCCTATTGAAAAATATTTACACACGGCCTAGTTTTCCAAAGATCTCTTGGAAAACCTGTTTCAGAGAACTCTTCTGGTTAAAAGTTTTGATTATGAAAACATGTTCCCAAGTCTCCTCTTTCGAATGGTGAAAATCGAAGTTCTCTAGCTCTTTTCTATCAAAAGTTATTCAAAAAACAGTCATATACCATTCTTTTTTTGGATGGTCAATAAATGTTTTTCACTCCGTTTTTTGTTCATAACTTCTCCGTGATATTGAAGCATGAAAACTGAACAAAGTGAGTATAGTTCCGAAAGTTTGCGTTTTGATTAAAAGAGCTTACAATATTTGAAATCTCGATTATTTTAATAAAAATTTATAAGCCCCTTGCAAATGGGCAACTCATAACGCGCTTAATTAAAGAGAACAAAGACATCAAAATTTGTATATATAGATTATGTTAAAATAGTTTATCAGTTTAAGCAGAAGGTTACTTCTGAACTCTGTTACAGATTCGCTCAACAGTCGTACGTACTGTGTCTAACAGAGAAAAACTTGTATTAGGTACAAATAAGATTTGGGGTGGTTTGATTAGTTACTTTGTTCTGAATCGTACGAGTGATCCAGAAAAGATAAATTGTGGTATAAATTTTGATCCAAAAACAGCAGCCAGTATCAATCAAATCCAACGTGTGAGCGATACTACAGTAAGATTTTATATCACCAATAGCGCCAGACGAGGATTACTGGAAGTTTTATTTTACTTAGACATGTATTTATTTTCAGAGATATATTCTGTGTGGTACATTTGTTAGCATAGGAATATTTACAATGTTACTGTTATACTTTGCTCTGGACGACATTCCTTTGTGCGAAGCACGTTCGTATTCTGAAAACAAGTCTTCCTGAAACAATGATAACAAAAGGATATTTTTAGAGTCGTTGAAGCAGTCCCTGAAAAAGGGTGCCGAAGTACTGCAATCATTGACTACTTTAAAATACATTGACGAGCTATTTCTAATGCCCATCACAATGTGGAGCACAATTGAAACCTCTTACTTAACAACTCAATTTACCCGTGTAGGTATGAAAGAGAAATGATACTTCGAAATCAAACTAGTTGGAATATTTCTAGGCGTTTGTCACCTGTCGCTTTGGAATTAAAGATGTAGGTTTAGCAATGATTTGCTCTGGCATTTGCCAAGCTGTCAGCAGTTACATATTTGGTCATCTAACTAAATACACAGGCCGATTGCCGTGTTTTATCATTGGCTTTGTACTCCATTATACCATCATTCTGCTCATGTATTTCTTGGATTCGGAGGGGTATGTCTTTATTTTTGTTATTGTCGGTTTTTGGAGTGTGGCAGATGCTGTTTGGCAGACACAAGTATTAGGTTAGTTCTATATGGTCATCACAGACGCTCTTCTCATCATTTTTGAAGTCTTCATTATGTAGCTATGGTTACCGTTTTATATGCAGAGAAGGATCCAACTGCATTAGCAAAAAATCGTCTGTGGAAGAGTACGGGCTTTGCGGTGACATATGGAGTAAGTTTAATTTTGTGTTCTATATTGTTACATGATGAATATTTTCTTTACAGTATGCAAATTATGTGAACATCCGTATATCATTAATATTACTACTAGTTTACTTAACAATTAGTCTAATATGTTATGTTATCGTCGAACTTCGCTTTCGATTAAAGAAGTCTATAGTGACATTCACTGCTCTAGAACTTGCATAATTTATTCTTTGTGGTTCATTGTCACTTCTATTTGTTTGAATAAAAATAATTGATGACATCTCATGCAATCATGTTTCCACATGACATTGTTATTGAAGAAAAGCTTATCTTTACTCTCTTAGTAATATGAGATTATCGTTGATGATTAGTTATTGATCATAGCGACAATGAGAAGTAGCAAATACGAAATAAACATATATTGTCGCCAAATTTCAAATATTAGAACAAGATTCAACTTCTGTTTCAGCTTTACACAACAGAACAAACACCTAGAATATACCTCCATGCAGAAATCGGTAAGTGCATCTGTCTGCACAATAGGGACTTTTTTTTCTCATTCGATATTTTGCAAGTGCAAGTAGTCGAATGTGTTTATTTTCTAATTGAAATTTTTAATGATTTTGAAAGATTATTGAGTCCTAATAAATTTGACGTTTTTGCGGTCATGTCTATGATGGACATTATATAATTTATGCTTTTTATCAAAATACACTAAATTAACTTGCAATTAGTGATGCGATAGAATTCGGTATTTTTTCGAGAAATGGCAGTTACCGAAGACTCGAATGTTCATCGCTAGAGATCCGATCTTATAAAAGATTCGTATAATTTTTCTATATGAATCTTATAGAAATCTTACAAAATCTTATATGCTTCAGTCGAGAGAAATGCATACTGTGATTATAAGATTCCTATAAGATTCTTATAGTCAAAAACACGAAAAAGAGACAAAAAAAAAACACTTTTTTTTTTGCCTGAAGAAGGCGGGCAAAGTTTTGAACTTTGAAATTTTTGAACATTTTCTATAAGGCACTATAAGATTATAAGAATCTCATAAAAAAATTATAAACTAAAATCTTATTCAATTCTTATAAGATTCTTATATTGCGAATTATAAGAATCTTATGGTTACAGTATGCATTTCTATCGACTGTAGCATATAACGTTTTTATCTGCTTTCCGTACTTTTGGTCGCCTAGGGATTCATTTTCTTCTATTCTTTATGGATATTCATTTTCTTTCTAAATTTGAAAAGTCGATGTCACGTTTCCTTCTTTTCCTTACTGTGGTACGAACGTTCTAGAACGTTCGTACCACACTAAGGAAAAGAAGGAAACGTGACATCACTCTACACAGACAACAGTCTTAATGTATGTTATATATGTGTACCGTACATTGCAACGTGAGCACACACTATGTATAACGTGAATAAGAAAAGAAAATAGAAACGAAAAAAGAAAAGAAAAGAAAATCGCTATTTGTCGCAGCTCTATTGCTCATTCTGTTTCTACGGACTGAAAAAAAATAAAGCTTCGATTATTTATTTCTACATTTCGAAGATTTTTGTATTTTTGCGAATGAGAAAGACAAGATATGAAAATGTCTCTCTTTCACAAATTGTCTGGATACATCCAAATTAGTTGTTCTAGTGCACTTTTTTCGTGTTCGAAAGAACCGAATAAATATTCTACACCGCCGCTTTGCGAGACGATTTTTCATACTGACGGCAGTGACTTATTTTCATCTCACATTATGCTATTATATATATCCCGTCATCGTCATCATACGTTGTACAAGAAGACAGTTTATTTCATTTTACAGTTTGATAGCAATAGAAATGCAAGTATTGATTATTTATCCACTTAAAACTAATCTGAGCAAGTTAGGAAATATCAGTTTTCGTCCCGACTTGCTCGATGATGATGACGGACTCCAAAGGGAGATTTGGCGATGTAAACCACAGATTATTATTGTTAACAATAACTTCATCAGTGTCGAGACACTTGAACTATGGCGAAACATTATGGGCTCGTCGGCGACACTGGATATTATTCGTACAGGGACTGATTTGACTCGAATAAACACTGAAAAAGTCGTCGAACTCGGTATTCACTTATCTGACGTACTCAAACTCATTTCTGAGGTCACTTTACGCAAAGGCTGTGAAGAAGGCATGGATCAGGCGGCGTTGACAATTTTGGCTGTCATTGTGTTGAGACAAACATTTTGTCGTCCATCCGATTTCGAAATTGCACGTGTGCTCACGAATGAGTCGATAACCGTAATCGGTGCTGGAATTGCAGGTCTAGTGGCGGCGTTGTTCTTGAGTGTTGCTGGTTATCGAGTGACTGTAATTGATAGGCATGATAAGCCAATGCTTGGAAAAGATTTGGACGTTTACAACGGCGGCACTACTATGGGTGGTTGTGATGCCCGACATGCATCGGTCACCGAGGCTGTAGCAGCTCCAACTCGGATAAGATCACTTCGATTGATGCCCATGAAGAAAGGTTGGAAAATGTTGGATAAAATGTCGGTTGACGAACAAATGTGGGCTAAGAAATTTGAGGCTATGTCAGCCTTTCCGGCAATGTATTCTATTTTTTCTGATCTCGTAACAAGCGTGAATCGAGTTGCAATTGATTTGTGGGAAGATCTTTTTGAACGAATTCCAGAGCTAGCTGAAAATGCAATAAGAAGTCGCCGAATTGTTCGACTGTGTACATCCGAGTTAGCTGTGTCAAACACGCTTAAATTTCAAAGAAAAGTTCATCGGAAAAATGACGAAGTTGTTCGACTGTCGGAAGAGCAAATGGTTGCACGTTTCCCTCACTTGAATCGTAGTCATCTCGCTGGTGGCATCGAAGTTGAAGGCTTTACGATCAATGTAAAACAACTGGGTGATAATCTCATCAATTATCTCGAGAAAAAACAGCAGGTGACATTTAGATGGGCATCCGAAGTCGCATCTCTACAAGATACAGCAGTAACATTGTATACCGGCGAAAAGATCATCTCCGACCGAATTCTTCTTGCAACAGGTGTCAGTGGGGACGACCTGCTTAAAGGTTCGCCAATAACAAAACAAGTTCAAGGAGTCATTGGCTATTGGTTAACACTGCCTAATATCAACATGATTACAGAAGGTTTTAAGATCCACGAGGAAGATCCCGTTGCGGTAATGAATGTGACGATGAGTGTTGACAACAAGACACTAATTATCAGTGGTGGTTTCGGGTTCGTGGGAAATCAACGCATCATGAAAACATCCCGGTATACAGAAATGGCCGTTTTAGTAGCACTCGCAGTGAAAAAATATTTTCCAACAGAGTTCGAAAAAGCTACTGAGTCAAACAAAAAACTCCGAGTGACCTATTGTGTGCGCCCTAGTAAGTGCCTGATTTGTTTCTTTTTTGATCTCGTCGTATGTACTTAAGTCACATAACTAAATCACTTAATCGTTCTTTCTTTTAGTGTCGGCTGACGGTATGCCACTAATTGACTGGACAACAGCAAATTCAGCTAAAACTATGTATGTCGGAGGAACGAGTGGTGGTGGATTTGTTCAGGCGTCCATCTTATCTCTCTTCGTATTGGACATGGTTTCTGGTCGAAATACTTATTCTCATATAACTCAAGCCATGGCTAGTACAAGAGATAGTCTATCCAATCGCCTCTACTATAGTGTTGACAGAAACGCTTGTGCAGAAGAGACAATAGAGAACTCGATGATATCATTAGACCCTGCCATTCAACAATTTGCAGAAGATTTTCTTCTGTTGTAATTTATTTTCTTTAATCATTTTCTTGTAGAGTTTTTATGCTTTTTATATATAATGTAATTGTCTTATAATGTAAACGGAAAAGTAATACAATAATAACAATATTATCTTGTTCGCCTACAGACTAAATAAAACGCTAGATAAATGCTTCGCTGTTTCTAGACATACGCATACGACGAATGCTCCGCAAAAGAAGACGTATTATACGCGTTCACAGACGTACAGGATCAGGCAGGCTAATTGACTGGGTAACAACAGTAAATTCGACTAAAACTATGTATGTCGGAGGAACGAGTGGTGGTGGATTTGTTTGGGCGCCCACCTTATCTCTCTTCGTATTGGACATGTTCTCTGGTCGAAATACTTATTCTCATATAATTCGAGTCATAGCTAGTTCAAGAGATGGTCTATCCGATCGCCTCTGCTATAGTGTTGACAGAAACGATGATATACAACTGAGAACTCGCTACCACCGTTAGACTCTATCATTCAACAATTTGCGGAGGAGTTTCTTCTGTAATCTATTTTTCTTACTTATGTTCTCGTAGGTTTTTGGAGATTTCCACATATAAATGTCATCATGGCTAAATAAATGAAAATAAATCTTACATTAAACGATAACTAAAAAGTATAAAAAAGAAATATTTTCTTATTCATTTTCACACTAAAAACACCTCTTCTGGAAAAATAGGTAAAATTTGATGTTATTTCTTTTCATCGATTTCATTCTTTAGACTTAATGACTGTTTTGCGTTCGCGGAGAATTCACAACTCCCGAAGGCTACAGCCAGTTAAACGCTTATATAAGCGTTTAACTGGCTGTAGTCAAAATCGTACACAAGCATTTTACAAATAAATCCAACACGAGTTATATTAACGAAAAAAGCAAACATTTAAATGGTGCTGAATATATCAATGCTACGTTTCTTCATGTAAGCCAATTGAATATGTGAGTTTAATGTATCAAAAATTTGTTTATCTCAATCTGGTCTAAGCTGAATTAAGAAACTGATTTTCAATTGATGCAATGTAGACTGAATTTAGTATTTAATCATGCCGATTTTGTCCTTTAGAGTTGTTATCTTGCAGACCAATATGAGAGAAACGTAACTTTCTAGTATAATCACTTGTTTAGATATGTTTCTATAATAACTCAGGTCACAAGAGGATCGCTTGAGGAAATTTTTTAATGTGATTTGCCTAGTACTTTGCCTTTCCGGAATAACTTGGTCTTTCCTCACGAGAACTGCATCTTTTTACTTCAAAAACTTGGAGTTTGTTCACAAGAACTTCACCCTTTTCCCCCATGGACTGGCCGTTTCAGGAAAACTTCATCTTTTCTCCTGAAGAATTTGGCGTTTCTTCATGACAACTTCATCCTTTTTCGTCAAGAACTTGGCGTTGTTGCACGCGAACATCATCTTTTTCCACAAGGCCTTGGTGTTTCTTCACGAGAACTTCAGCTTTTCTGCTCAATAACTTGGACTTTCTTCACAAGAACTTCACCCTTTTTCCTCAAGGACTGGCCGTTTCCGGAGAACTTCATCTTTTCTCCTGAAGAATTTGGCGTTTCCTCCTGACAACTTCATCCTTTTTCGTCAAGAAATTGGCGTTGCTGCACGAGAACTTCATCTTTTCTGCTCAATAACTTGGTCTTTCTTCACGAGAGGTTCATCTTCTTTCCGGAATATATTGGTGTTTCCTCACGGGAACTGCATCTTTTTTCTCAAGACTTTGGTGTTTCTTAACGAGAACTGCATAGTTTCGCTCAAGAACATGGGGTTCTTCACTTCATCTTTTCTGCGCAATCACTTCGTCTTTTCTTCTGAGGAAGTTGATGGTTCCTCACGAGAACTTCATGTGTTTTCCTGAAGAATGTGGGGTTTCCGCAGGAGAGCTTCATCTATTTCCTGAAGAATTTGCGAGTTCTTCACGAGTACTGGATATTTTCCCGTCTTTCTTCACTAGTTCTTCACTTCATCTTTTCTGCGCGATCACTTCGTCTTTTCTTCTGAGGAAGTTGGCCTTTCTTCACGAGAACTGCATCATTCTTGCAGAATACCTTGGTGTTTCGTCACGGGAACTGCACCTTTTTCCCCGGAGAATTTGCCGTTTCCTCATGAGAACTCCATCTTTTTTCCTCAAGAACTTCGTGTTTCCACACGCGAGCTTCATCTATTTTGCGCAATAACTTGTTCTTTCTTCACGAGAACCTTCACGAGCATTTTTCTTGCTGAACACCTTGTTTCTGCACGCGAACTGCATCTTTTTCGATGACGAATCTGACGTTTCCTCACGATGACTTCGTCTTTTTTCCTAAAGATGTTGGCGTTCTAACACGAGATCTTCATCTTTTTCCTCAAGGACTTAGTGTTTCCGCACGCGAGCTTCATCTGTTTTGCGCAATAACTTGTTTCGCATCAACAACATGATGTTCTTCACTGCATCTTTTCTGCGCAATTTGGTGTTTCTTAACGAGAAGTGCTTAGTTTCGCCCAAGCACAGGGGGTTCTTCACTTCATCTTTTCGGCGCGACAACTTTTCTGACGAAGTTTATGCTGACTAAATTATGCTCAATAACTTGGTCTACAGGAGAGGTTCATCTTCTTTCAGGAATAACTTGCTTCAGGAAGTTCTTGCTAGAAGAACCCCATGTTCTTCAGGGAGGATATGCAGTTCTCGTTAAGAAACACCAAATACTTCAGGAAAAAAGATGAAGTTCTCCTGCAGAAGCCCCAGATTCTTCAGGTTCTCGTGAGGAACCAAGTTATTGAGCAAAAAGATGCAGTTCTCGTGAGGAAACACCAACTTCCTCAGAAGAAAAGACGAAGTTATTTCGCAGGAGACCCGAAGTTCTCGTGAAGAACGCCAGGTTATAGAGGGAAAATAAGCAGTTCTCGCGAAGAAAGACCAAGTTATTCCGGAAAGAAGATGAACCGCTCATGTAGGTATTCAGGACAAAAGATGCAGTTCTCGTGAAACACGAAGTTATTGAACAGAAAAGATGAAGTTCTCTTGTAGCAACGGCGAATAGTTCAGAAAAAAAGATGAAGTTCTGATGAAGAAAGACCAAGTTATTGAACAAAAACGCTGAAGTTGTCGTGAGGAATTCCATGTTCTTGAGGGAAGATATGCAGTACTCTGGACAAGGAAGATGCAGTTCCCGTGATAAAACACCAAGGTATTCTGCAAACAAGATGTTTTCTCCTTCGGAAACCCCAGATTCTTCAGGAAAACAGATGAAGTCTCGTGAGGAACCATCAAGTTATTGGGCAAAAACGATGAAGTTCTCGTGAGGAAACACCAGTTTTCTCAGAAGAAAAGACGAAGTTATTGCGCAAGAGACCTGAAGTTCTCGGGAAGAACCCCAGGTTCTAGACGGAAAATATGCAGTTCTCGTTAAGAAACACGAAACTCTTGACAAGGAAGACGCAGTTTCCCTGATGAAACACCAAGGTATTCTGCAAAAATGATGCAGTTCTCGTGAGGAAACGCCAAATTCTTCGGCAAAACAGATCCAGTTCTCATGAAGATAGTCAGAGTTATTGAGCAAAAAAGCTGAAGTTGCCTTGAGCAAACACCAACTTCCTCATAAGAAAAGACGAAGCTATTGGACAAGTGAGCTGAAGTTCTCCTGAAGAACCCGAGGTTCTAGACGGAAAATATGCATTTGTCGTTAAGAAACACCAAAGTCTGGAGAGAAAAGATGCAGTTCCCGTGAGGAAACACCATGGTATTCAGGGGAAAAGATGAAGTTCTCGTGAATAAAGACCAAGTTATTGAGCAAAAACGTTGTCATGAGGAAACACCAATTTCTTTAGAAGAAAGGGCGAAGTTATTGCGCAAAAAAGATGAAATTTTCTTGAAGAATCCCGTGTTCTTGAGGGATAGTATGCAGTTCTCGCTAAGAAACCGCAAATTCTTGAGCAAAAACCCTCTCGTGAAGAAAGACCAAGTGATTCCAGAAAAATAAGGATAAAGTTCTCGTGAGGAAACACCAACTACCTCAGGAAAAAAGACGAAGTCCCCGTAAGGAAACGCCAGATTCGTCAGGGAAAATCTCATACCGTGAAACGTCCAACGGAGCCACTGGAGCCAAAAAATGGAGGTGGTCCCAACGAGATCTTTGCGCCGTACAACGTAACTCGTCGCGCTGATTCCGAATATGCAAAAATCTCGGTTGACGCATCTCTAGAAAAAAGTCATCAAATTTTGATATGTATGGTCTTAAAATGAGCCAAAAATAATCTAAACAGGATTATAATAGGGTCATATGTTGATGACCATTATAAGATGATATTTATCCCATAAAAAAATGACATAATTATGACTACATTATGATACAATAAATGAGATAAATATGGGAGAGATAAGATTTAAAAATGAGCCATATATGGCACTTAAATGAGTCATTCATGACTCATTTTTTATGTCATTTTCACGGTCTGGGAGGTTTATGAATTAAATTCAAAAACCTGTTTTGAAGTCCGACATAAGTGTGTAGAATTTATACAGTCAATCTTCATGGGGACCTTTTGATCCTTGGTGTAAACGTGATTTCTGTTAGTCTGCTCTTCTCTTGTTTGATTGAATAAAATAAAAATATTTGTGTAAATGGATGATTGGATTCACGTAAAAAGCAAAGATTTTCTAACAGATGTTACCACAGTCAACAGTAAGACTGCGGAAAAGTCAAAATACAGGAAGAACAGGAAAATTTCGAAAATCAGGATAAAACAGGACAAATATACAGAGTGGAATTTCAGTCCCTTATATTTTGCTATATGAAAAAAGAGAAAATGTCCATCTCGAAAAGCTCTATCAACTGGCTCAAGCGGTCGAGCCAGAGACGAGAGTACTGCATATCTTCCCTCAAGATAAATAGCTTGAATCGTATGATTCACTAAGTCCATTGACTGTAGGTCGAATGAATGTCGTGTCGCAAATATTATTCATTCTGCTGTAACTCGATTTTGTTATTACAGAACTGATGCATATTTTTT